AAATTAATTCTTAATTAATAAAGCTTTAATTCTAAAATAAGAATCCCCCTTGATACAAAGCTTTGTTTTTTGTTTAAAGACAACAACGCAAAAGAAAGTGTTTCCCACTGGCAGTCAGTAGGAAAGTTGAATGATTCTAGGGTTTTCATTTCAGAATTTGTCATATACTCATTAAAATAACCTGTACTTTAATAAGGACTTATTAATAAGGTCCGTTCCAGGCAAAGCAACACCCTCAACAACACACAAAAGTAAAAAGAGCACTTTTCAGACCTTTACAAATGCAAAGATGCTTTACATACATGCATGAACAGAAGCACAATTAGATCCCAAGTATAATCACTGCATCAGATCTTACAACCAGAGAGCATTAGTTATTGGGCAGCTGATAAATGTAATAAACAAACAAAACACAATTGTGTGGTACACCAGGAGCTCTCTTAACATGTGCCTTTAACTTCTCAGTTCTTACTGCTCTCCCAACCAAGGTTGTCTTGCAATGAAACCTTACTTTCTGCAAGTCCCTTCCAAATTGGCTGCTGAGAAATGCACATGTGTCAAACTGCGGAAGATCATGAGGCACATTTTAGCATCAAGGAACTTAAACTTGAAACAAAACAGCATCCTCTAGTGGATATTCACATGCTGCAATTTGAATGTTTTGTGTTTTTTATGAATTGCTGTGAAAGAGCTTTGACTAGGTGGAGGGCGAGGTATAGCAATGAAAATGTTATTCCTCTTCTGGTACTATTACCAATGTTTCAAGGATGGTCTTAAGTAGGATGCACTCCAGTACTTGTAGGAATCCCCCTTAACAAAGCAATTCTTCCTTCCCACTTACAGCCCCTTTACAAGATGGCCTGCAGCACAGTTCTTTAAAGTGTATCCAGCAAACCTCAACTTTCATGCAATAAGCAGATAAAATCTGGAGATTCCTATCTTATCTGATAACAGTATCAGAACAAGTTCAGAATCAGAGTGGTTAACAAGGTCTTAACCATAAAACATCCAAAACTCTCATCCTCCTAACCATTAACAGCTTTTCAGCGAAGGACAGCTGTTTCCTTGCCAAAGCCCATCCTGAAGTCAATCATGTTGCCTCTGGTGGAATTTACAGCCATGTAAATGGGCACCAGATTGCAGCCTTGATGCTTCTCTTTAGGGTCTTCTTCGCAACTTTTTTCTCACTCACTCTCTCAAATTTAGAACTTTAGGGTGAAATCCTATGCAAATTTAGATGGCCATGTGGGCTGGGGCATGCTGGGAGTTATAGACCTTTTTCTGCCTAAATTCACATAGAATGTAATTATTTATATTCCAAACCTGTAAATTCCCTGCATGTTGCTTATATTTGAGGTTAAGTTCTAGAATACCTTAGGATCTGCAGTTTTTAATCCTAGCAACTTCCATTCCATGTAAATTCTCTTCTACACAGAAAAGGCTTGTCATTTCTCATTCGGCATTCTGCTCGGCTATGCCACAGTAGAATCAAAGAAGTTATAAAACCCAGGAAGCATAACTGATTGTGATAAAAAGTTTTCCTGTATGACATTTTATGCTTTTAAATGCTTTGTGTGAAATATATTGGGTAACATGAGCGGTTTTTGAATTATGCAGAGTGAGGGATAATTTCCCGTTTTTCTTCTGATGTTCTCATCATCAGCATGGCAATCACCATGACAGAAGAATCTGGGCCTGCAGCCATTTTACTTCAAGGTCTAAGTCAAGGGTTGGCCACTGAGTCCAGTGTTTAAGAAAAGGCAAAATCTTGTGATCATGAACAGAATCAAGGCAAGGGGATGTCTTCTGCCAAAAGCCTTGTTGAGAACACCCTCAAGCCACACTCCCCACTGGCTTCTACAGCAGAAAAGATTTGGAATTACCTGGCATTACTAGGTCCTTTAGCATGCTTTGCTCTAACTCCTCTGCTTAGATGTTCATGATTTAGAATCAATGGGGAAGTGGGATCACAACAGCCTACCCTTTCTTGATAGTGTTTGCACCATGCTTGAGGCAGATATCCATAATTTGGTCACGAATTTGCAATGGGGAGCCCAGAGAACTCAAACCATACCATTCAGAATTGGAAGGTGGACAGAATAATTATGTGATAAGGCTAACATCCATTGCCCTTTTCCAACATGCAGTTCAGCATATCTATCAGGTGAGCCTGTGAACAGGGCAAATGAACCAAAACTCCCTCAAACCCTCTTCACGCATCATGCAGATACTGGAAAGAGGGAAATCAGATGGGGAAAGCCCTGCAGAGGTACTTCCTTTTGGCAGTTTTTATTTGTGCTGTACTTCATTCAATTCCCACATCTTGCTTACCTCCCCAAGTACTCTTACTGTTCTCAGGGGCAAAAAAAAGGTCTCCAGTAGATTTACCAACATGATAATTTTGGCTGAAGACCGCAGGATACTCACCTCTGTAGAACACCTTGCTGTAGCTCTTTCAAGAACACATGAACATGGAAAGCACAGGAATCCCTTGCCTCTAAAGTTATACTTTATTTAATAAGTCTTAACTGCGTAAGTGGTCAGTTTCAGGTGTTAGAGCTCCTATTTTATAATTGGCTTAACAAAATGTCTTGAGTTTATGGGGCCTTTTCACATCTTGTTTGCAATTAGTAACTCCACTGAACACTGGAATGCAACCCAGCTCAAAGACCAGTGGCACCCATTCTTGTTCAAAGTGGGAAGGAAAATGCAAAGTAAGATAAAATGCCCTATATCCCTTAAAGACTGAGATTTTGGAATGGAAGTTAAAGCACACACAATGATTTCTTTTGGACCCCTGCACATAATTTGGGAGGTGACAGAAGACTAAGTGGCTGTCACCCTTTATTACAACCTTATGTCCAATTACTTGGACGCAAGTCCCACTAAGTTCATGGACTTCCTTAGACAGGAGACGAGAAGATGCCCATTCCAATTTTATCTCTACCATCAATTAGCTTAGTGAAGTTACCAAACAATCGGAAATTTTATTGTCTGAAATGCGAGGACAGAGCACTGATCTTAACTTGTTGATCTATTGTAAAAAACTGCAATAAGATAGTGTATGTCAAGCATGACATGAATATCAAGTATTATCTCGCTGTGTTATCATTATATTATAATGCAACATTTGATATGGTGAGATCACAGTAAAACATGTATCTATGTGCATGAGATGCTTTCCAAAGATCCACCTTTGCGCCTATTTTCTGGGGAGCGGGGAGAAATGCACTGCATATCTGCCTTGGCAATACTGGAACAAGAAATAGAGTGCAAATGTTGAGGACAATGCAATCTGCACCTGTTTTGAAAAGCAAGCAAGGTGCTCCAATTCTACTATTGCCAATGGCACCCTTAAGTCAAGTCCTTCATTCAGGTTGAGCCTATTAGCGTAAAAAAACTGCCAGGTTCCAGCATAGAAAGTTGCACCAAAGTGTCTTCACGATTTGATTGTTAAGGAACGATGGTCCAGTGCATATCCAGAACACACAAACTGTTGACTGTGATCAAATCATCTTGCAGTTCTAAAACATGGCCTAAAAGGCCAGGTTTTCTCTCTTTACAGCCAGATTTTTTTTCCACCACAGCATCTACAAATTCAACTTAAGTCTGCTCCTCAAGTTTCTCACATGTGGCTTTTGACAATCTTCCCACAAACTATTTGGACTAGTCTCTTCCATGCCATTAGTTTTTGTATTTTCCACATGTAAGGCTACTTCTGTCTCATATGTAGTTCTGGATGAACTGCATGGCTGGGTGCCCAGAGCTTCTGGTGCCTATTTCTCTGGGGTAGCTCTACCATCATTTCAGTCTTAGTGTGGCCTTTGTCAAGGTAGGAATTGTTGCATTTTACAAGCCTGTAAGAAAGCAAAGCTGGCAGACACGACTTTATCGTAGAAAAAAATCCAGCACTATCCTGTCAAGAGTGGAGATCTGGGGCAATGCCACCTTGACAAAGGGGGCATCTACTTGCAGGCTTCCTTTTATAGCAATGTTTTTATTTGGACCTATATAATACAAACAGATACCTTACAATGGCTGATATATCCTAACAGAAGTTGAGTCTCTAAGCAACTTTAAAGGAAGGAGGGCAAAAAATCCTTAGAGACTTTATGGCTACTTCTCCTGGTTCGTAGAAGTTGTCCTGAAGCAAGAGATCTTTGGCCCTGGAGAAGCGCCAGCAGTGCATCCCAGTCAGGTTGTGAAGCGCAAGAAGCATTCCTGGAAAGGAGGTGGGGAAGGTACAGACAACCCTGTGCAGAACTGTAGTCCCTGTTCCTGGCCAGGTAGAAAAAATAAAGTCTGGAGAGATATGCAAGTTTGGCCAGAGCAGCTTCTGTATACTCCTCAACAAGCCGGTAACTGGAAGAATACGGCACCCCTACCCACTAGGCTAGGATTTATTCAACATGACAGCAGGTAAGAACTTGTTGAGAGTATGCTAACCTCCAAGGGGAATACTGAATTGCACAGTTCTTCTCAGGATATAGAAAGAATACAGACAACTAGGACATCTCAGGTTCCCTGTATGGCATTGCTTGGTAACAGGACTGGTTGTTCTATGTAGAATTCCAAGGCAGGATTATGTCTTCCTATGAAGTAGCCTGACCTGAGATTTCTATGGACAGGCAGAACGTATCATTAGCCCCTGCAGAAGTAAGGCAACAATCAGATGCCAACAGTCCACCCTTAAACACGTGACCCAGAGTACTAGACATTGGGCAGTTGCTCAGTGGCAGTACCTGGAGGAAGAGTGAAGAGAGGTGCTTACACCAAAGACGGACAAGTAGCAAAATGGGGGTAGGAAGGAGCTCTCTCACTACCAAAGAGACAGACAATATACTGCAACAAATAAACTTCCATCCAACATATATACTGAAGACAGAAAAGTTTCAGCCATCTAGGAAGAGGATTTCTGGAGAACTAGGAGGGTGGCAAGAGACACCTACCTAAACTAGATTTAGGAGGGTTGCTGTGAACAATAATTAAGAACCAAAAACTTATTTTCTAAAAAGGATTTTTTTGCACATCTTCCAGCAATTTATAAAACAACAACCGAATACTAACAGAGTCTGAACCAAAGGAATGTGCTTTGGAAAACATTAAAATATGTGTTCCTATTAATGCAATGCACCATGTTACTGTGTTGCTGTTAATCTTTTTCACCTGATTTTTTAAAAAAATCCTAGAACACTCTTCAACCTCCCCTAGGGTCCATAGGACAATGCATTTAGAAGAGAAGTGCTCCCATGCTGCCAACTTCGCTCTGCTCCTTTACAAAGATTTCGAAGTACTGGTAAATAATAGTGACAGCCAGTAAGATCCCAGTGCCTGATCCAATTGCACCAAGGAAGTCTGCCAGCACAGAGAGGGCACCGATGCAGAGGCCACCAAACGCGGCTGCTGTAGGAATGTATCTGACAAGAGAGGGAAACAAATTCAAGTTAAACCCGAGTGGTTAAGGTTGGACCATCAGCATCATCCACAGGCACAGTTCCCAAAGAAAACGTGTCTTGCAGCCCCAGCTGGATGAAAAACGGTTTGTCTTTGTCTGGATAGTTGGGACATAATGGTAGGATCCAGAGAAAGTTACCTGTGCATTTGAGTCCCACCTAATGATCATCTTAACTGCCTCCTGGGTGTAGGATGACGTACAAGACTCATGCACCCTATACAGGTATAGTCACATGTAAATATGGAGCAAGCTTTTGCTCAATCACCACGTATGTGTATTTGAAGGAAGCAGCTCAACGTAAACAAGAGCTTGGGCATTCTGTACTAGAGCGTCACAGCACAAAGAAGCTAGGAAACCATGCAAGCCAGTAAACTTCCTCTAGCTTCAACACCTTTACCAAGTGCTGCAATTGCCCTTTTCTTCCCAATTCGGCAAACCATGAGGGCTAGAAGTTTTCTTTCTACACATTCAGCAGTTAGTCATAAAGATAATGAGTCCTCTTACAAAATTGGAATTCATCTGCTTGGAAACATCTTGAATACTGCAAGAGCTCCCAACAAGAGGTTTTCTTCCAGTTCTACTCCTTTGGGATAAACAGAGTGCTTGATCTAGATGTACAAGCAGATTCGCCTACCTTCTTCTCCCATACCACCTCTCCAGGCCCCTAAAATGCTAAACAGAAGGTCCTTGGACCCTGCAGAGGGTAGACTGTGATGTGGGGAGAAGGTGAGGGGAATCTAAAAATTGAGTACAGGCACTTCCTGTGATTACAGTCCTTTCATCCATGAAGGGGAGATCCAGAATCCAAACTGTAAGTTTGAGTGGCAGTATAGACTACAGTGAACCTGTGCATGTTTGAAACTCACCTGTTGAGTTCATGAACCATGGAGGTTTCTCTATGACCCCTCATAACCATCTGTTGCTCTTTCAGTTGTTTAGCAACCTGAATTGGCCAAAGTAAATAAGATTTAGTCTTCCTTGAGGTCAACTGATAAAACCCATTTCCTGTTAATATGCAAACAATCTCAGTGCTCATTTAAGAACTATAAAAAAGGCATGTCAAGGCTTTTGAAGTAGCAGTATTACAAATATTTCTGAAAAGTAAAATAAAAAGAGGTAAGTTGATGTGAGACATGCTTCAACATGCTGCCCATGGAAAGCATAACAACTTTTCAAGCACTATCTTACAGGATTTTTAGGGAAAACTGAATAATAACCATTCAAAGGTCAAACATGGAGGTGCCCTGTGGCATCCTAAAGACTAATATACTATATCATAAACTTTTGTGGGCCAAAGCCCATTTACTGTGAAGTTTATGACTCTTACCTCTTTGTCAATAACATGAACCTGACCCATACTTTTCTTAGCTCAAGATGATCAATAAGACAGAACTATACTGAGTAGTTTTAAATAGCGCTAAGCATTATAAAGCAATGCTCTGAAATTAACAGCACCTTGCTGGAATCAGACCACACACAAAAGGTCCCAGGTTCAATCGCTGGTATTTCCAAGAGCAGTGGACAAAGCACTGGTGCACATAATTAAACAGTCCACCATGGTTTATTTAAACTATGGTAGACCGTGATGTGTGCCAACTGCCATATTGAATGTTTGCTTGGCCACAGACTGTCATATCAAGTGAACCTGGCTGGAGAGGGCTATGTAGCACCAGATCACAGGTTATGTGAGCGTTATTTAACGATCACACACTCTCTGACACCCAGGTTAACACAACATATCATGGCCAGGCAGTGGATATTCAAATCCCTCCCAGTTCATGCTCCAGCTCACTCTGATCATGTGAACCAGATCAAAAATTCCTGAGTACTACCATTGGTTAGTGTAAACATTACTAAGCTAATGGAACAGTGGTTTCACTTGGAATAAGGGTCTTTTTTGCTTTCTTAGCGAAATGTTACCTTTGTATGGGGGGGGGGGGCAATGCCTGCTAGGAGAGTGCTAGACACAAGACTGCACCTTCTGTGAAGGAACAAACAGTTTCTCACAGAAATGAGCAAAAGCGTCCTGAGCTGTAGGATCCATGTTAGCTACTTACATCTTTGGCAGAGGAACCAGAGACCTCAATCCAGGTTTTAGAGAAGAATGCACAGGAGCCCAACATAAACACAATGTATACGACTGCATGGACAGGGTCTTCTAACACCGAGCTGAAAGATTCAGGAGGCGACAGATAATAACAAAGCCCGCCCACAGGATAGGAACGAGCAGGGCCTCCAGTGGATGTATCCTGCGATGGAAGTGGAGAGTTTTCAGAACATGCATTGACCCTTCTCAGCTGCACAAGTATGATGCAGCTGCTAAGGCCACAATTACATTATTTACAATATTCCCTGTATTATTTATGTATGCAAGCCATAATCTTTTGTTACACTTCAATCCTTTCTTCATGCATGTGGTCGGTGTGAAGAATATTCATTATGGCACCTGTGAGAACATACAGGAGCTCACAAGGGGACAAATACCAGCCCATGCTTAATATATGAAATGCTGCATGGCTCCTCAGGCAATGTGGGTCACTCCACACTATCCTGTATTATGTCTAGTCAGAAGCCAGTCCCACTGAATCCCATGAGATTTACTCAGGCTGTTCATACGCATATTATCTAAAACAACCAAAGAGATTTATCTTCAGAATGAGACTGGAGGAGGAGCATATCACAAGCAGATACTTACGGACCAAGTGCCCAGGAGGCTAACCAACAAGTTGCCACTGAAACGAGCAGAGAGCATCTGTGAGATCACATATAAGTTGGACACAAGTGCAGACTGAAGAATGATGGGAATATTGGAGGTGTAGAATAGTTTGATTGGGTAGGTATTGTACTGGCCACGGTAGCGAGCAGATTTGATAGGGAGGTCAACTCTGAAACCCTATAGATCACAAAAATGAGACCTGAATAGCAATAGAGACAATCCTTACTAACAGCCCACTTAAGCAAACCCCCAAAAGACTTCAACAAAATTATCTCAAAGTGCATTTTAGAAATAATTTACTCTTTAGCACACTAAAAGACAAAGGCAAATCAAGTACACTCTACGTTGAACACCATGCATTTCCATTGACCATGACATTTATTTATGCCATGCTAACCAATCTAGGTGGGGTTCTCCAGCAATATGTCACTCCCAAAGAACTTGGAATCTAAAAACAAATAGTAGAGAAATGGGGAGGGAACAAATGCCATCACAAAGCATACAGCTTAGGATTTCTTACAAGGAGAAGTCAAATGTCATACCGAAAAAGTGTGCTGCGGAGACTGGAAAACGGGGAAACAGTTGGCACCAATCCATATTTAGGATGGCAGTAGGTAAAATGGAAATTTATGACACTGCACTAACAGGCTGGAATGTATATTTAGGGGAAAACATGGAGGGGAACAAGGGAGATGGGTGAGCAGAGCTGGGATCCATTCTGCCAGCAGCAGATATTTTACCGGTGGGCAGACACAGCTGGGCGTAATCCAAGGAGAATGGAAGTGGGTGAAAAATCAGTGAAGCAATCACAGGAGCAGAATCACACAGTCAGAGTTTTGGTTAAGGTTTTTCTAGCGACAAAATTCTTCATCTCACAAGCTAATTGTTCAAAATCACCCAGAGAGCTTTGGCTATTAGGTGGCGAGGCAAGGAGGATGGATGGATAGATATGCAGCTCTGTGAGATTATCTTTGCAGAAAGGTTTAAACACAGACAGGTTTTAGACGACACTCAGACTCATTCACGAATATAGTTACCCATGAATGGTTCTGAGGTATCAACACAAATTCACAGAAGAAGAATCTGGTTTGATTTTAACAGGCACTTTTCCCATGTGCCTTGTAGAAGTGCCTACACTTTATAGAGGGAAAATGCTAACAAGCATTTACCATAAGGACAGAAACAAGCCCAGTGAACAGGCTACCACCTCCCAGGGCAGACAGACTATTCTTACCCTGCCGAATCCTGAACACTATTCCATAACTCTGTTTACCTGGAAGTAAATGACAACAGCAAAGACAAATATGGTGGCAATGAGGTTCATGAGATTGGGGAGGTTCTGGCGGTAGAAGGCTTCCCTGAGAGCTCTGACTTTATCTGTGCGGGTGGCCAGCAGATGGAAGAGGGCAATGATGGCACCTTCGAACTCCATGCCTGAAATGGACAAGCGCAAAAAAGACAATCAGCTGCCGGTAACTTGATGCTTTGCTTTATTCTGTTCATTTGCTTTTTCAAACGGATCAGGTACAAAATCTCCTGTCAGATGAGTCTCTCATTCTCCCACTGCTCCAAGCAGTAAGAGGTTACTCAAAAAGGAGACCGCAGGCCAGCTGAAGTGGGAAGCATCCCCTCCACATCCAGCTGTGACCCCTTCTCAGTCATGCAACATGCCACGACTGCATGAAGGTGCAGTAGCATAAGCCCGGCTGCACACAAATACAGCCGGCAGCAACTTCCGTGATCACCGAAGGCGTTTCCACAGCCCCCACTGTGCATCAGAACTGCTGGGCTGCGTACTGCTCACTATCCCCCACTAACCAAACATTAACCGCATCTGCATTAGGCAAGCACTAACCACATCTGTACTCTGCCTTCGTGAACCACTCATACTGAGCTTCAGAGGAGATACTACATGGGCATTCACGAAGTAGCCAGAAAAGAACAGTAGATTAGTACTGCCATGTATGGACATTCCGTAGACCTGAATGAGGCTTTCTTGGAGATGTGCGGAGATTGTATAAAACCCAAGCCTGCACTATGCAGAGCCCATTCTGAGCTAGTTTGTTTGATAAAATTGGCTCACGAGAAACCATTAGTCTCTTAAATATCACAACAATATGTGATATCAAATTATCTGGCATTTCCATAGAACAAATGCACCCCAAACTAGAATTTACTCTGAAGTGCTGCCTTTGCTGATACTTAATCTTGTATAAGGAGAGCCAGTGTGGTGTAGTGGTTAAGAGCCTGGGACTGGGACTCAGACAACCTGGGTTCGAGTCCCCCTCAGCCATGGAGCCAACTGGGTGACTTTGGGCCAGTCACAGACTCTCAGCCCAACCTACCTCACAGGGTTGTTGTGGGGATAAGATGGAGGAGAATGATTTAAGCTGCCTTGAGCCCTTTGTAGGAAAAAGGCAGGCTATAAATCCATAAATAAATAAATACATAAATAAGGGAGCTTTAGTTTTTTTGGGTGGTATAGAAATAAAAACAACAACAACATCAACGGCAAACTGTTGATTAAAGCAATGCAAACCAAACATACAGGCAAGAAAAAACTTAGACAACCTCCCCGTTCCTCCTTGCCAACACTTGTGCAATATGCCGGCTCTTGTGCAACATGCAAAACAAATGGGACACACATCCTGAGCACAACCTCACAGCAAGCAGCCCTGTCCACCTCCAGAACAGTGCAAACCAGGGGAGGTAGCCAAGGCTAACAAGGCACATCAGCCCTGACCACTGGCCATGATGAAAGGGGCGTGCAGGTGCTATAACCCATATGCTGGAAGGCAGCACTGTTGGACTTTTGTTGAAGAAGTGTCTGGGTCTATTTTTGCATGTCTGCCGAGCATGCTGATCTCTCTCCTGTTTCGTGGCAGCCTTGTCTGAAGCCCAGCCCCTCTGCACAGAAGCAATGAACTTGCTGTTAAGAAGGATGCTCCACTTCCCCTGCAAAGGATACCCATTCATGACATTACCTCGGCCAGTGTTTACTGTGGTTGGGCTGAAAGCCTTCCATACTATAGTCTCGCAGATGTTAGTGGCAATGAAGAGGGAAATTCCAGAACCAAGACCGTATCCCTTTTGCAGAAGCTCATCCAAAAGAAGAACTATCAACCCGGCAACAAAGAGCTGCAAGAACAAGTGAGAATTATTTATCAGAGGCATTATCACTGTTGGCGATAATATCAAATTATGCAGTAAAGCACTGCAAAATGAAGGTCGGTGATCACAGTAAATGCCTGCTTTGGGAGTGCACTTGGCAGCTCGTGCCAAGGCAGCCCTTGTGGGGAGATGCTTCTGTTCTTTCAGGCATGCGTCTGCTTGAATTTTCAGAATACCTCTTTTGCTTTAAATAGATACCACTGAATGCCTAAGTGCACACTTCTGGGGGGATGTGTATGCTGCCGTTCCTTCTATGTGAGCTAGAATGAAGGCTATCACATAAACCAAACTTTCCTAGACTCTGAAGACGTTCTAGCCCTGGGAAATCCACTTGCCGATTAAAGAACTTTTTTTACCTTAAGACACTCTTGGCACTATCTGGCTATTGCTTAATATTATTTCATTTTTATACTACCGAGAGTCAAGGTTTTCTAGGTGGTTAACAAGTAACGGAATACAATAAAAGAAAATACAAACAACCCAATGCTTGAACACTGTGTATTATATAGTACTACATGTTATTTTTGTTGATAAATTGTAATGACTTTGTTTATTACTTGCCTGAGAACTGTTGAAAGCACAGAACAGAAATTAAAATCAAATAGGTATTTGCACTGCAGTGTTTTTCATGTACTACGTCATGGCCAATCCCACTTTACAAAAGGGAAAAATGCTTGTGACCAGCTTCCCAATGTTAACCAATAAGCCAAAAGCCAAGCAGGTATTTGAATCCCTCTCTTCCTAGTCCAGGTCCACCACTGCTAACTGAGCTACCCAAGCTCCACTCATATAGTTCCACTTTGGTGGCCCAGGCACCAAAGTGGTGTAGACCAGACTGGGGAAAACAAACTGCAGCTCCAGGCAGAGAACCTGCTGCACAGTGCCAGGCTCAGCCCCAGCATTTTCAGACAGGGCTGGAAAAACTTCTGTCTCAAACCCTGGAAAGCTGCTACCAATCAGTATTGCCAATACTGGGTTACAAGAACCAGTGGTCTGACTTGCTACCAGGCAGCTTTCCCGTGACACAGAAAGCAGAACAATTTAGAGGAATCCAATGCTTCAAACCCCTTTGGGAGCAGATGTGATGGGCATATTGAAGTACGTACTGCAACTACCTATGCCCTCCTACAGAATACTCCTGCAGTGTGTCAGACTAATGCACATCCAGTCCAGATGTTTCCCTTCAGTAACACAGCCCACCCACAGTGCCGGAGACCCACTCTGAAACAGGGGCGGCTGGCATCAGCCATCATGCATTTGTACCTATCATCTCCTAACCAAAAAAGTACACTGCTCAGAGAGTTTCCTTCCCTAACTATGACGGCCAAGAGCTACTACAAGCAGATCTTCAAGAAAGCGTCCCTACTACTGATGAGGTAGGCACTGCAGGCTCACAATATATTCAGAGATGAAAGCATGCTCTAATAATAATGACTAACAAGAGCATTACAGATCTGATTAAATTCTCCTGAGATAGGTAGAGGGGCAAACAGCTTTGCAAAAGGGGTCTAGCTTTACATCTTGTAAAATGCAAGTGTTTCTACAGGCTTTTCTGCAGTTGGGGTTATCAGAAACCCCCTAGAAGCACTCGGTAAGTGGAATATAAGAAGTTACCTGAATCGTGATTAGCAAGCAGATTCCTGCTCCCATTTCGGATGGGTCTCCATACATCCCAGTCATTACATAAACGATAGACTGCCCAATAGTGATAATCATGCCAAACACTGGGAAATAAAATAAAATCACAAGGGGAAGAAAGACTGAATTAACCTAGACTCTAACTCCAAATTTTCCAAGAGGATGCAATTCATACTGTCCATTGACAGTATCCACAAAAGTTATTAGCAGAGCTCGAATGAAAGTTCTTCAGTGTCTGCCACTACTCACATTTCTGTGCCCCATTGAAGAGAGCTCTGTCTTTTGGCGTGTCCCCAACTTCAATGATTTTGGCACCGGCCAGCAGCTGCATGATGAGACCAGAGGTGACAATGGGAGAAATGCCCAGTTCCATCAGTGTGCCTGTTGGAAGGGAAAAGCAGAATGACACCACACAAACAGAGGATGGGAGAGGCAGCGTGACAGCGGCTCCCAGCCCCTCCTTTTTGACAATGTACACCTTTGCTCTCTCAATCTGATGGTGGGAAAAGCAGTCAGATTTGCAGCTAAAATTCCATCTCTCGCAGGTTTCCAAATGATCCATCACTCTTTTGTGTCTTTAGATCATGGCCACATTATTAGAGGCTAAGCACTGTATGAGAAGCTAAGCCTTATTCTTCAGAAACAGTTTTTTGCAGCATATTTAGTAACACATTAAACTGATGCAACATTTTCAACATGAGGTAACAGTGCCAATTCCAACTAGCCTGCAAAGAGGCAGATTCTACTTCAAGTCAAGCACTACTGAGTATGCCCCTAAACTACCTTGAATATTTGAAATAAGCATTTTGCCTATTCCAATTTATTTTTTTACAGATCACTTTTATAAACTGTTCAATTAGCAATCAGCTCTCAGAACAGTGTACAAGAACTAAAACAGTCTAAAAACAAACTAAAAACAAATATACATACATTATTAACATGGTAACAACATTCATGGGGCCATAAAATCCACCAACAGTGCCAATAATAATAAAGTAAGGTTGCTTACCTGTAACCAATGTTCTTCGAATGGTCATCTGAGCAATCACACATATGGAAAACAGGCCCTGTGCTCGTGCAGAGCCCATATGTGTAATGCACAGGAACCACAAAGAACAATACCTAATACAAGAATAAAACCATTCACACAATGCCAACAATCATATAGATAAAACCAGTATAAAATCCAAAACATTGTTCAACAATTAAAATGCTGGGAAAATAAAAAGGTTTTGACCTGGCACCAAAATATATACAGAGTCACTGCCAAGCACACCTCCCAGATTTTAAAATACTAGATCTGAACGAAAATAAAGCAAAATTGGAAAACTGGGACTGGGGGCTTAAAGGAATGCTCAGGGTGCAATCCTGTGGCCTGATGTGGTACAAAGAACCACATCAGCTCATAGACCTCAGAGGGGGAAGGTGCTAGAAGGTAGGGAGAGGATGCAGCCAGGAGCACAGGGCTGCATTGCTTGCAATTGGTGTCCCAGCCGCCTTCCCTTCTTGTGAACCCTAAATCTAGATAGCTGGAAATGGTGATCTAGAAAAAAGGTGCGGTGCAAAGCAGCCAAGATCATGCAGCCACACCCTGCATTGGATGCTAGCCTCTAGTTCACCACTAATTTTAGCAACAGGATTGTGCCCTAGGACAAGCAAGGGCAAAATCATTCAGAGTAGGAGAAGCTTGCTTTATGAGTAAGTGACATTTGGCAATAGTTCATTGTAGCTCTGCATGTAAATCCATCATCTTATGAACTTTCTACTTATGCATATTTGAAACAAGAGTGCTCTGCAGAAATGCCAGCTCCATAAGGCTCCTTCTTCCATTGGCTGTCGCCTGGCAGCAGGCAGCAGGCTGAAAAAAGCGAGGGAAGGAAGAAAGCCCAACGCCATCAGCTCTGCTGAGCCCAGCACTCCTTCCTTGAGCTGCAGCACTCTAGCTAGTCACAAGAACTAGGACCCACATTTACTTCTTCTCTCCTCCTCCCTCCCAATCCCTTTTCCTTCTGTGTTGTACCCTCTATACTTTAAGGTCAAGGACAAAGACTGTCTTACACTATTACTAATCTTTGTATGTCACTCTGTGTCCATTATTTTGGCTGAAGAGTAATGCCAAAGGAGTAAAAGGCAGGAGGTGCGTATGTGTTATATAGTGGCAAACAACGTGTCAGGATGGCTGCAGGTGCGGCTTTGCCTCAGCCATGACCTTTGCTGGCCTGAAGCCGGTCAGTATCTCAGACCAAATTAGCAATATGGCAATAATAGTGCCCTACATTGCAGAATTGTTGTTATGATTAATGCGTTAATACATCTCCAAGAGTATTATTACTGTCATTTTTACATTACAGCACCAGCATAGTCATCAAAAACCTTCAAAACCTATTTTTCAATTTCAATATTTGGCCATAATTCAGACAAAGTTATACATATTTAATCCCAATATTTTCAGTAGGAAAGCTGGGCAGTTGCATAACTTTCCCACTGAAATCTGATGAACTTTCTTAGGTTAGGGATAGAACCCAATCCATTTTGCTACACAACATGCAAAAGTGAAGTCTCTCGGCAGACATAGCCTTTTGCTTAGGAAGACATTCTTACCTCTGTTTGAAGCCAGAATTACTCTCATCCAGTAGAAGGGATCTGCCGAATCTGATGACATAATGCCGAACAGGGGAATCTGAAGTTCCAAGAGATAACATAAGATTAACCCTGCTTTAGCTCCGCAGCATTGGAATAAAAAAAAGGGGGGGAGGGTTGAAGTACAATTAAGAACATACCTGGCAGCAAACCAGAAAGATGAAGAGGGTGATGGCTGTCCATAGTACCTTTTCTTTAAATTGGATCTACAGCAGGGGGTGAGATTATAGAAATAATGGCCATTAGCATGCTGTCAGGGCTAAAAGTAAGGACTAATTGATCATGCTCAACTGCCAGTGTCATGCTGGTAGAGAGAGCCCCAGAAAGATAACTTCCCTGTCCACTCCTCCAACAGGCCCCATGCTACACTGAAGATGGGCTACAGCAGAGGTGGTCTGAGAGGGAATGGAATCATGGGGAGGCAGCTGTAGCCAACATTATGCTTCCTCATTCTCTACCTTCAGCCAGGGGACCATGGACCACTAGGAGGCCTGTAGCATCCCTCCTTGGAAGGAGGCAGTGGGAAGACCAGGCTGGCTCCGCCCATCAGCCAGAGCAATTGCAGGCAGATTGCTTCCCACCATCCTCTGCCAGCAAAGGCACTTAACACCAACTGCCAGTTATCCTCCAACTGCAGAAGGAAGGGTAAACACATGATTGCCTCTGCCACTGGAACAAAGACCACTGATTCACTTGGAGCACCTGTATCTATTCAAGACCACAAGCAAAGAAAGCCAACCTGGTCACAACTGGATGTAAATGCATGCTAATAACCCAATATTTAATTCTGGCAGAGTCAAGTGGATCTCCCTCTTTGGCTTCTGTCCTCCACTACCCTTCCCTTTTGTGTGGTGTCTCATTTTTAAAAACATGTTAAAGTCTGAAGGCAGTAGCTATGTCCTATTTTTAAAATGATGTGAGTTGCTTTGGGAAGCAATATTTTTCTGAAAAACAGGATAAAAAGAAAAGATTCCTCCCATAAACATGAACTCCTGTAAATATCGAACTGAGTGCATACCTTCCTTTCTGGCTTTTGGATCTCAGGCAAGATAACACAGAAGGGCTTGATTATTTCAAGGAATTTAACTGTGGAGAAAGATTTTTTGGTTAAGAATAGAAATAAGTTGATTAACAAGCTCACGGAGTATAAGAAAATCCACCAACAGTGGCAGTGTTAGGTTTGAACACAAAGACTTGTCCAAATCTTGCCCTTCAAGTGACTTATGCAGTAACATTAAGGAAATTAGTCATATGTCTCACTCCACGTATCTTCAGGAACCAAAAGATAATGCAAAACAGGTTACCATTAGTCCAACTTTACTTAAACAAAAATCATATGAAGTGAGATATGGTCTCAACTCTTACTTTCAAACCAAATCATTATTTTGAGTAGAACCAATGTACCACTAATTTGGGAAGTCAATGGCAAGATGCTGTCTTAGCTCTCAGAGAAAAACTTAATCACAACATTAACCTGCACTTTCCAACAAGCACAAATAATGACTTTGTAATGGCACTGTGATACAAGCATTGCTGATGTCAGCATCACTGTGATGCTCCACAGGTATTAAAATTAGAGCTTCTTCAGTTCATGCAGTGTTCATCATACATTCCACTTTGCACTAGGAAATATCACTATGTTTGATGTACTCTTGCCTAGAAGCAGAAAGAAGACCCGGGAAGAGCATCTGAAAGGATGTTATCAACTAACAAGCTCATTTTAAGCAGGAGCATAGATTTTAAAAAATCCTACAGGTGTAAGAAAAGCCTTAAGCACTACTTTTAAGAAAGCAGAGAGTAACAAGTTGTATTTTTGTGCTTAGGAGAATTAAAGATGTTAACATTCCACATCACAGTGAAAGCAATTCTAAGTTTCAAATGAAAACTAATCGCCACCCCCACATTGCCGGATGAAATACCATTATACTACAATCCAAACAAAGAAATGTGTTTCAGATAGGAATTGTGTTATCTGACAAAGGCAAGGGACTGGCCATCACCACAAAGCATGCATAGCTACATTAAAGAAACTTTTAACAAATGGCCTGGGAGAAACCCAATGGGGCTTTCCTTGTGGACCATCATTGCCTCTTTACCCCTACCTAGAAGGCAATGCATGTGATGAAATATGTCTGCACTGAGAACCAGAAGGCAGCAGAGAAACTGTAAGGAGAGTGTTATTTTCACATAAGACTACACTCAGGTGAAAGTGCAAAACTATGGTTCCTATACAGTGCAAGCTTTATTTGAAAAATAAAGGTTTTCCCTCCCTGATGGTGCTTTTTAAATGCTTGTTCCTTTATAAAGTATCTCCAAGTCCAACCTGGGCCACGAGAGTGCCCAAGTTGACATGGTTCTTAGCATATAATAGAGTCGAGTGTCCGAGAGTGCAAAACCAGAGACAGTGATTTGGGTCTCACCTCAACTTATTTTCTCAATAAACGTATCCCCCATCTGCAGGTGGGGATGACAACAACACCAAATCAGTTCACCAGATTGCTGGGAAGATCCCAGGGCATGAATCATTTTGGACCCTAAAGATGTGCCACGTAATAACTCCTTGGCAGGGAATTTATCTTCCCAATACCCAAATGTTCTCCCCTCCCTACACACACTTCGGGACTCAGGTGTCCCTCTCCCTTGCACGACCTCAGCAAGAATCATCCTAACTGCTGATCCGAAAAATCAAGGGGACTCCACGCTCGCGACCGGCTCTCCGGGCGATGATCTTCGCCCTCCGATTCCTTTCAGACTGCAGTGCATACAGATCTTCCTCCCACGCCGCCATTTCGCCCTCGCCTGCCCCTCTCCATCAACGGAGCCTCCCTGGCGGCGCTGCCTCGTCCCAGTGGAAGAAGCGCCCCCCGCTCTCCCTCGTGCCTGCCCGAAGGGAAGGGTAGGCCCCCTTCGCCGGCCCTCCTAAACGCCAACCCCGCAGTTGCCCGATACTCACGCCCCATCTCGGCCGCTCTCAACGCGGAAAAGGGAAGGATCAAACAGGAGCACCGATTCCAGCCCTCTCCTCGGAGAGACACGTCAGTTGATTGAACCTTCTCAGCCCCCTTCCGCTTCCTGCCACGCACTGGAGGCCCGCTAACCAGGAGCAACCCGCGCAGGCGCAATAGAACTTTTCGTACTTCACTCGGACATCTCTGCTCTGTGCCTCTCCCGCAGGACTACAAGTTCCAGCAGCCTCTTCGAGAAGCCAAGCCTCCTCTGGTTTTAACGCTCGCAGCGCGCATCAGAACAATACGTCTCTACGGATTCCAGTCACTCCTCCGTTGCCCGGCCACGCTTTGCATAATAGTCAACCGAGGCGCGCTCCTTTCCTAGTTCATGGTATGGGAGTCCCTGGGGTTGAATTTTGCCTGCACCGTAGCCCCACCAAGGGACTACGTAGCACTGCCTGCCGAACGTTTGCTGTTGCCCTTGGCTTTCTGGGAATCGTGGTCTTGTGCAGCCGCCATTTTAGAACCAAGGGAGTCAAGGGCTGGAGGTCAGGCTTTATACACGAGGGCAATAGCAGTGTTTGCATGTCCTTGTTTTAACAGTGTAGGCCACGTCCCGTGGCAGTGCCAAATCAAAATAGTCAGGATAAGGAGCGTTTCAGAGCAAGAGCTTGTAAATAGGGAATAGACGAGCGGACCTGTAACAACCTAGCATGCCAGTTGCCAACCAGGTGCCAACCAGACAGCCATTCCAACCCACTTGCTTGTTGCTGTTATTCCAAGGAAGGCTTGCAAGGGTCTGCAGTAACTGAGCAAGTATACTGTTCCTTTTGGGAGCGGGGATGAGGCTGTTTTTGCTTTTAAAATACTCTTTCAAAGAGCAAATAAGTATTTAAAAACTCATACAACTTAGAACAATTGACTAACCTATCTTTTTTGTAGTGAAAGTTACTGAGAGCAAGGATTTGATAAATTTATGTGCCACATACGATTTTAAAAAACCAACAACAGTACATTTAGTACTTCCAAATCTTCCTATGTGAAGCGGAAGGTATATTTTTCAGCTCAGTTTGTAAAATAAATACATTTGTGCAAAAATAAGACACTTTAAAAGTATCTGGTTTGGTTTGCCCTTTAAACAAATGCAGCTGATGAATTAGTTCTTTTCTAGGATAATAAACAATCTGATAACCTGATTGTTGTTGTTGTTTTTACATTTGTATGATGCCCTGTAGCCCATAGGCTCTTTGGATGGCTTACAATAGTACAAATTCAGTTGCAAAATACAATACTATAACCAAAACAAAAATACAATATTAATTACAAAAGCAATTCAGAAATAAAACAGGAATACTTAATATAATAGCATACATATCACAAAGCAACAATAAAATGCAACTATAACTAACCCTGCCAAAAAATCCCAATGCCCAAGCCAGCACAGCTGGCTGAAAAGGTGGTGGCTAGTGCAGCCGGACCTCAACATCACCTCGACTCTGCAGCTGCAACTGGGAGAAGCAACTGCTCCCCTTCCTTCCTCTCCCTGGCGGCAATTTCACTCCCAGTGTCAAGGGGGGGCACTATGACAAGCAATGGGTGCCGCAGAAACTGCAGTGCTCTGCAGAGGATGCAGATGTAGGCCCAAATAGGCCCCAAATGATTATGTTCAGCTCCTATGGGCTGATGAGGGGATTACTCCCCTTAACTTTGCCTACTTTATTGTTGCTGTTGCAATTTTGCAAATGTCGAGATTACTTTAATGTACTGATGCCACCTCCTGTTTTTAGTGGCTCAAATTTGACTCCATTTCTCTCCACTTTCACCAGCTGAACTGAAAGAAGCAAAGTGATTCTTGCTATTACAAGATGCTAGTTAAATCTAGTTTGATTAGTTAACCAAAGTCTCAAATCAAGGATATGTAGGTGATGTGACACACACAACACAGTACATAAGTAAAATGATCTTGATAGTGCATCCAGTTTCTACATGTTATATAAATGTACATATTTTAAAGGATCAAAATTGAAAATTCTTTAATAATATTATAGAACAGTGGTAGCCAGACTTGTTTAGTAGAAGAACCACACATGATAAATGTCAGGTGTTTGTGAGTGGCAAGCGGGTGGCCATGGGCAGCAAGTGGCAAGTTAGCACTCATGGGTGCCTTCAATGGCGAGTGGCAAGCCACAAAATACACTCAAAGAGCTGCATGTTCCTCCCAAGCCTCAGTTTGTCCATCCCCATTATAGAATCACAGAGTTTTTTATGTGCAGAGATTCACTACAAAACTCTAGCTTCAGTTAACTAATTTTTCTTCAATTAGCTTAAAATGCGGCCTGCGGCCTGTGAGGCTTATAAGGCAGTGTCTCTTAGCTGTGACCTGGGCTGCCCGAGGACTCCCTTCTCTGGGGGCAGGTATATTATATTATATTAATGTATTTTTGTCCTTGTGTGAGTGTGGGTTTTTGTCTGGGAGAACTGGGCGACTGAAGAGTAGCGCAGGACAGACAAGGCAGGGGAACAAGGTAGAGTCTCTGAGGGGTTCCCAGTGTCAGGCCAGGAGATGGCCTTGGCGGGAATCACAGGTGTGGCTGTCTGCTGCAACAGCTGCGACATGTTCGACCTTCTCCTTCAGGAGAGGCAGGGATACACTTGTCCTCTGTGCAAGCTTGTGACCCTCCTAGAGGAGGAGATGAGGTGTCTGAGGGCCGAGAGGGCTCTCCAGGCTCCCCAGGAGCAGTCCACGTCCAGACAGAGGGTTGAGGAACGGGACACGGGAGGAGCAGCTGGGGAAACATGGAGGCATGTCACCCACAGGAGGAGGAGGCCAGCACGGCCTCCTCCTTCTCCTGGCACCGATCTGGAGCTAGTGTTGCCAATTGCAGCACCCCAAAACACCCCAAAAGTAGTTGGCCAGAGGAAGGCCACATAGTAAAAACACCACAGTTATACTGTCCCAGAAGGAAGGGCAGATAAGAACAAAATGAACTTTGTGTAACCCACAGCTAACACACTAGCCTACCCTCAAATACAGTAATCAAAGGGACAGTGGAAACTGGTTCTAGCCGTCATGAAAGTTGCAAATGTGCAGGGAGTAAGAACATGGCAAGCCTGTGTGAATCTCGAGCAGATAAGAAATAGACATGGGAAATGTCCTTGACAGAAGAAAGGACTGTTTCTCCAGCATGGGAGGGGGTACATACATTGATGTATCGATGCATTAGAAGTGTATGAGGTGACCTAGTTGGTTACCTAGGGTATAAAATGCATGTACTGGGGTGCAACTTTCAAGACACTGCTTTGGGCTGAATGTCCTCTTTTGTCTCCCTTTATTCTATAGTGCACTAAAATAAAGCTGATTTTGGCTCTAAGTCTCGTCTCAGGCTCCTTTTGGCTCTGGTCTGGGGTCCACCCGGGTTTGCCCTAGCTGTTGAGTGGCTGAGTTTGGTAACACTAGGAAACAGGTTCTCTCTGCTTGGGAAGGCTGGGGCTGATGAGGACTTGGGGAACCAGCAGGACCCCCAGCCTGGGACCACAGGCGGCCAGGAGGCTATTGCAGGAGAGGTGAGGGCCAGGGCACAGCCACCTACCACCACCGGGAAGAAATGGCAGCGGGTGATTGTCATTGGGGACTCCCTGCTGAGGGGCACTGAAGTGGTGGTGTGCCACCCTGACCCTGAAGCAAGGGAGGTGTTTTGCCTGCCAGCCGCACACATCTGGCATGTGAAGGATAGAGTGGAGCATCTTGTTCGCTCTGGGGGTCACCAGCCCCTTCTGGTGATCCATGTGGGGATAAATGACATAGCCAGCAGGGTGTGGGTGGAATCACCAGGGACTTCGAGGCCTTGGGGAAGAAACTCAGTGACTTAAAGGTCCAAGTGGCCTTTTCATCTATCTTACCGGTCCAGGGTTTTGTGGGGCAGGGAAAGGAGGGTCACTGAGGCTGGGGGAAAGAGGGGCATTAGCTTAGCTTAGGCTGGGGATTCCAAAGAAAGGAAGTGGTGGGAAGGAGTTGAGATGCATGTACACCAATGCTAGGAGCATGGGTAATAAGCAGGAAGAGCTTGAAGCTCTCCTGGGAATAAGAGGGTATGACCTGGTGGAGATCACAGAAACTTGGTGGGTTGAAAGGCAAGACTGGAATGTAAACATAGAGGGGTATCACCTGTTTAGGAAGGTCAGGAAGGGAAAGGGGCAGAGATGAAGCCTGACATGTCAGAGAAGAGATAGGATGCAGTGAGATTGAATGCAGTGCAGGAGATCTGGTTGAGGCAGTCTGGGTGAAACTAAGGGGTTTTGACAGGGAGAGGGACCTGACAGTGGGGGTATGTTATTGCCTTCCAGGTCAACTTGAGACCCTGGATGATGTCCTGACAGATGAGATTCTAAGGATATCTCGAGGGAGGAACACAGTAATTATGGGAGATTTCAGTCTCCCAGATATTAGTTTGGAGACTCACTCAGAGTGACAGCCAGGTCATGTTGCTTCCTAGATGCTATAGAGGGAGGTTTTTTCACGCAGAGGGTCTGAGAGGTGACGATGGAGGGGAACATCCTTGACTTGGTTTTGACCAACAGGGAGGAAGTGATAGATGAGGTACAGATTAGAGGAGCTCTGGATCTGAGTGATCATCCATTGCTTTGAAATCAGGGGAATGGGGATGGGCAGCAGGTCGAGCACTAGATGCTGGGACTTCAAGAGGGCCAACTTTGGTCAACTGAAGGCCAGACTGGGGAAAGTCTCCTGGGATAGATGACTTGAAGGCAAGGGAGTTGAGGAGGGGTGGATGGTACTCAAAAGGGAGGTTTTAGAGGTGCAAGCCTTGATGATACCTCTAGTTAGTAAGGTGGGGAGATGAAGGAGAGTGCTGCCATGGATGCGAAAGGAGGTGGTTAGAGGGATTAGACGCAAGAGGAACCTCCATAGGAAATGTGTCCTGGGGCAAATAGACAAAAGGATATCCTGGGAGGAGGAGGCCCATTGCAGAAGGATTCTTCACAAGGCTAAGGCTGGTTACAAGGTGAGACTTGCAAAGAATATCAAGAGCAACAAAAGGGACTTCTGTCAGCATGTAAATAGGAAGAGGAAGGGGAGACAGGTAGTGGGACCGTAAAATAAAGAGGA